TTTTGCTGAACGAGACTCAAAAAAGAAGTCTGTAAAATGAATCTGATCTTCCCGTCACTAATCAACACGGGGACATGAGCTTGAACACATTTTAAATACTTTCCACATAATTCTCATAATTCTTGAATAAATCATTGATGTAAAGGTTTCCCACAATCCTTTGCACACCGAAGTTACAAGCAGGAAGACGGATGATTTATGCTCGTTAACTTTTAAAGGTTATGAATTTTCGCAAGCGATTACATATCATTTTTTTTTATAAAATAATGGTAACTTTAAGTGCCTCGTGATGTTTTAATGAAAACTGATTGTTTTGTGAACAGTTTTTACACGTGTAGATGACGTGCAGCATTGATTTTTATTCATCATACTCGAAAAAGAATTCAAATTAACAACAAATTAACACACTCATGCAAGCCCAGGCATCTATGCATTTAATACATTATAAAAATAAACAAACAGTAATGTCATTTCAGCATTCTTTCTTTGCAGCATTTTTCACCCTGTCTGCAGCTTTTGCACATATATAAAATAATAATGCATTACCTTTATTTCATTTTCATCTGATGTGTTTTGGTCCTGGGCCTGAAGTTCTATATCCCTGAAACAACAATGGACCAAATCAAAGAAAGTGAAGATAAATGTGCATTCATCCGTTTAATTTAACTGCAAATAAATATGTAGAAAAGAACATCTTTTAAAGGAGTTTAACGCTAAATAAAATATTTTAAAAATCAGTTTACTTTCTGGAATTCTTCAAAGTATCTTATTTTTATTACAAATGACCAAGAAATAGGCCTGGGTAAAGGGTGAACACGAAATTAAATTTATGTCACGGTGTCACGATGATGAATCACAGATCTAGATGCGCGCGCACCGTCATACACGGGTGCCTTGTATTATGAATATCCTGGTGATAAGAACATGATTTCAAATAATTATTCTTCTGTTTTACTTTAGTCAGTAAAAATGGTCATATCTAGAAGACTAATTACACATAATCCAGTACCTCTGAGCTGCGGGAGGGCGCGCACGAGCCGGCCGCAAGCAATCCAAAATAAAACGCATCATCTTCACACTCGACACGTCATCATCAGCAAGAACACGTCATCGATGCACAGCTCTCTCTTTCAAATTTCGATCATGATTAAAGTGCATGTGGTGATTTAAGAAGCGGGATGTAGCGGTTATCCTTGGGTCGCTCTCTCCTCTTCTTCCTTCACGACACCGGCTGCGGCAGTCACGTGATCACGGACAACCGGGATCGTGACTGCACGAGACTCGAGCAAAGCAGAACCCGAGTCATTGACGTTCAATGAGATAAAAAAGTGTTTTCCAACTGGACAGCTCCATTTTAAACATTTAAAAAAAAACATGTTTTAAAGCGTCTCGAATCTTCACCTCCTTTTACCCTGTTTTTACATTTTGCTAGAATAAATTAAATTTTAGAAAGTTATGGGTGGCAATGCTTGGTTTCATTTTTTAGTACAACCCTTTTTTGTTTATTACACAATAATACCATAATAATCCTGAATTTGTACAAAAAATAAAATTCCAAGTTACATAAAAATTGACAATTAACAGTTTTTATGATTTAAAAATAGAAAAATATAAACATAAAACACAAAAATTATGGCACATATTACCAATCTTATACTTTCAAAGGATTATCTCCAGTGCTCATTGGGCATGAAGAGGGAATACACCCTGGACAGGTCAGTAGTACATCACAGTCCCAGGGTTGCAATATATTAAATTTTTCTAAGGACAAAAAAATATATATATATATATATTTTAATTATTATTAAAAATGTAAAACAAGACAAACCCCTATGGTTACAATTCGACTTTGAATCGGAAGACTGCAGGGTTGAGTCCCGCCAGAGTCCTAATATATTTATTGTCTTTGAAAAACAACTTTGTGGCTATAAAACTAAATAAAACCACGTGGTCTCTGGGCTTGTGGCCTAATGGATAAGACTTCGGATCAGAAAATTGCAGGTTTGAGTCTTGCCAGGGTTGTATTATATCAAGTGTTTTTGAAAAACAACTTTGCTGCTATAAAAATATCTTTTGTGATATTTTAAAGACAAATTCCTTGGTCACAGACCTTGTAGCCTAACGGATAAGGTGTCTGACTTCGGATCAGAAGATTGCAGGTTCGAGTCCTGCCAGGGTTGTAATATCTTTTTTGTTTTTGAAAAACTACTTTGCTGCTATAAAATTATATTTTCTGATATTTTCAAGACAAATCCCTTGGTCACAGACCTTGTGGCCTAACAGATAAGGTGTCTGACTTCGGATCAGAAGATTGCAGGTTCGAGTCCTGCCAGGGTTGTAATATCTTTTTTGTTTTTGAAAAACTACTTTGCTGCTATAAAATTATCTTTTCTGATATTTTCAAGATAAAACTCCTTTGTCACAGACCTTGTGGCCTAACGGATAAGGCGTCTGACTTTGGATCAGAAGATTGCAGGTTTGAGTCCTGCCAGGGTCGTAATATCTTTTCTGTTTTTGAAAAACTACTTTGCTGCTATAAAATTATCTTTTTGGATATTTTCAAGATTTTACCACTTGGTCACAGACCTTGTGGCCTAACGGATAAGGTGTCTGACTTCGGATCAGAAGATTGCAGGTTCGAGTCCTGCCAGGGTCGTAATATCTTTTCTGTTTTTGAAAAGCAACTTTGCTGCTATAAAATTATCTTTTCGGATATTTTCAAGATAAAACACCTTGGTCACAGACCCTGTGGCCTAACGGATAAGGCGTCTGACTTCAGATCAGAAGATTGCAGGTTCGAGTCCTGCCAGGGTCGTAATATCTTTTCTGTTTTTGAAAAACAACTTTGCTGCTATAAAATTATCTTTTCGGATATTTTCAAGATATTACCCCTTGGTCACAGACCTTGTGGCCTAACGGATAAGGTGTCTGACTTCGGATCAGAAGATTGCAGGTTCGAGTCCTGCCAGGGTTGTAATATCTTTTTTGTTTTTGAAAAACTACTTTGCTGCTATAAAATTATCTTTTCCAATTTCTTAAGATATTACTCCTTGGTCACAGACCTTGTGGCCTAACGGATAAGGTGTCTGACTTTCGGATCAGAAGATTGCAGGTTCAAGTCCTGCCAGGGTCGTAATATCTTTTTTGTTTTTGAAAAACTACTTTGCTGCTATAAAATTATCTTTTCCGATTTCTCAAGATATTACTCCTTGGTCACAGACCTTGTGGCCTAACGGATAAGGTGTCTGACTTCGGATCAGAAGATCGCAGGTTCGAGTCCTGCCAGGGTTGTAATATCTTTTCTGTTTTTGAAAAACTACTTTGCTGCTATAAAATTATCTTTTATGATATTTTCAAGATAAAACACCTTGGTCACAGACCTTGTGGCCTAACGGACAAGGCGCCTGACTTCGGATCAGAAGATTGCAGGTTCGAGTCCTGCCAGGGTCGTAATATCTTTTCTGTTTTTGAAAAACTACTTTGCTGCTATAAAATTATCTTTTCTGATATTTTCAAGATAAAACCCTTTGTCACAGACCTTGTGGCCTAACGGATAAGGTGTCTGACTTCGGATCAGAAGATTGCAGGTTCGAGTCCTGCCAGGGTCGTAATATCTTTTTTGTTTTTGAAAAACAACTTTGCTGCTATAAAATTATCTTTTCTGATATTTTCAAGACAAAACCCCTTGGTCACAGACCTTGTGGCCTAATGGATAAGGCGTCTGACTTCGGATCAGAAGATTGCAGGTTCGAGTCCTGCCAGGGTCGTAATATCTTTTCTGTTTTTGAAAAACAACTTTGCTGCTATAAAATTATCTTTTCGAATATTTTCAAGATAAAACACCTTGGTCACAGACCCTGTGGCCTAACGGATAAGGCGTCTGACTTCGGATCAGAAGATTGCAGGTTCGAGTCCTGCCAGGGTCGTAATATCTTTTCTGTTTTTGAAAAACAACTTTGCTGCTATAAAATTATCTTTTTCTGATATTTTCAAGATAAAACCGATTGGTCACAGACCTTGTGGCCTAACGGATAAGGCGTCTGACTTCGGATCAGAAGATTGCAGGTTCGAGTCCTGCCAGGGTCGTAATATCTTTTCTGTTTTTGAAAAACAACTTTCCTGCTATAAAATTATCTTTTCTGATATTTTCAAGATAAAACCCCTTGGTCACAGACCTTGTGGCCTAACGGATAAGGCGTCTGACTTCGGATCAGAAGATTGCAGGTTTGAGTCCTGCCAGGGTCGTAATATCTTTTTTGTTTTTGAAAAACAACTTTCCTGCTATGAAATTATCTTTTCTGATATTTTCAAGATAAAACCCCTTAGTCACAGACCTTGTGGCCTAACGGACAAGGTGTCTGACCTCGGATCAGAAGATTGCAGGTTCGAGTCCTGTCAGGGTCGTAATATCTTTTCTGTTTTTGAAAAACTACTTTCCTGCTATAAAATCATCCTTTCTGATATTTTCAAGATAAAACCCCTTGGTCACAGACCTTGTGGCCTAACGGATAAGGTGTCTGACTTCGGATCAGAAGATTGCAGGTTCGAGTCCTGTCAGGGTCGTAATATCTTTTCTGTTTTTGAAAAACAACTTTGTTGGTATAAAACTAGATAAAACCAGTTCGTCACAGACCTTGTGGCATAATGGATAAGGTGTCTGACAAAAAAAAGATAAAACCACTTGGTCACAGGCCTCGTTATGAGGAAGGACAGATCCACGCAGTCATTGTCATCACTTTCTTCCTCACTGGTGTCAAATAAGATGTGGTCTTCTGTTCCATTCAAGGCATTACTAATGCCCCACTTCTTAAATGATTTTATAACAATGTCCTCCTTCACGGAATCGTACGCGCTATGGTAGGATCGACGAGCAGAGATGGGCGATGACGTAAGCGCGCATCGCCGGGTGTACAAATATGGCCGACGGCTCCGGAGTGTGATGGGAATTTTCCTATATAATACTACCCTCTAGTGGTCATTTAGAGAAATGTAATTTGAGAAACTTTTAAGAGCACACGTCATACTTCAGTCCTGTCCCTTGAGGCTGGAGGTTCTTCTTCCAATGCGGATAACACGTGTGTAGGAAATGTGTTGAGACTGCTAAATCTTTACAATATTCGGCTATTCCGCACTTGCTGTGTTCTCTCTCTCAAACGGTCTCCAGTGTTTATTATCAATTGAGAAGGTATATTTTTACCATAACAGGAGCTAGGCAGAAGCCGCGGCCTCTCTTACGCCTCTTCTAAGGCCGTGACCACCCTCTGCTCCGCGGTGCTCTGCATTCCCCGTATAAGACGCACCAACTTTTCCCCGTCAGTTTTGGGGAAGAAAAAGTGCGTCTTATATGGCGAAAAAATACGGTACTTTGTTTTAAACAAGACAACCACAAATTAAAATAGTTCTGAATTTACACTACCTTTCAAACCCAGTAATTCCTTTTAGTAGAAATTTGTAAAAAAAAAAATAAATAAATAATAATAGAATAAAGAACAAATGCAGTTTATGACACCTTTAAACTTTAATCAAAATATTAAAACATGAAATGTTTTTCAATTACCTCAGTAAAAAAATCCTTCTCTAGTTGTTTGCTAATCTGTGTCATTGACCCTTAAAAGTCTGGGAACTTTTTGAGCTTTTTACTACTTTACAATTTGCTCTAATTGAATCTAACCCCGAGATACGAATGCTTCGAGTTACGAAACGTTCGAGGTACGAAGAAAAATTTGAGATACGAAGAAACACATTTGTGCACATACTACGTATTTTGCATGTGTTTTATTATCTTTATTACATTAATAATGTGTAGATTTAAGGATTGAAGAAACATTACCTGATTTTTCTCTGGTTTTCTTTTTTTTATCAACTTAAACTGTTGTTTCTGAGAGGCGTTGCACGGATTTGGCGTTTTACATGTAAAACTTGCTTCGAGATACGAAATGTTCGAGATACGAACTCCACCCTGGAACGGATTACTTTCGTATCTTGGGGTGCCACTGTATCTATAAAACAGTTTCTGTGGCATGTCTGATAGAACAACCACAGATGCATTATACAATAATTCCACAACAAACCTGAAATTGTACAAATTTTTTTTTTTGAATATTCAATTTTGCTATTTGTTTACTGCAAAAATCTAAAAAATTTGCAAAGAACAGCTTTTATGTTTTTAACAAAAATCAAAAGTGTTAGACAAAATTAAAATGTATAACTCCTACAAAAATTAAAGACAAGGTCAAAATTATGTGGAAATTGTATATAAAAAACAAACAGGCGAAACTGCCCTAATCTTTATACACTTTTTTGTGCCAAAACTTTGAAAAAGACAAGCCATATCATAGGTGTTATATCTCCTTATTCTTCCTTTTCACCACTAGATGGCACTGCTGGCCCAGATTTGGGGTCTGTAGAATAAAACTGAAAAACCTAATTTGAATTACGTTGCACATTATGCGTCAAAACTTTTCTAATGTCCGTTTAAAACCAAACATATCAATACGAATAACTTTTTTTGAAACCTACTCGTTATATTTTAAATTAAAAAATAAACGATAGCTGGGTTGCATCATTCCTACCTTATTCTAAGCTGCTGTGACTGGCACATGCAACGGTGCGTGCAGAGACTTCTAAGGGTTAAACAAACCTGTAACGCTAACTTACCGACCTGCACTCTCTGAGCTCGTCTCCGTCCGACCCCTCACTCTCCTTTTACAATAAAATCCATGTAGAAAACCATTGTAAATCAAATGTCACACTACTGTTGAAGTAAAAGTTCTTGCACCCCTCTGCTTTCCCGCTGGGATCCCCGAGTCTCAGAGCGCTCCGTTATTTCAGTGATCCTCACCGTTCCAGAAACTCCTGCTGTAGTTTTCACTGGCTGTTTCTCCTGCAGCATTAGACTTTTTAGGTGCTGGCTTCCTCCTTTAGCTCCTCCAGAAATCTTCTTCTTCTTCTCTTCCACCATGACCTTCTCCTGAAAGCCCAGGATGGGAGCAGGAGTCACCAGAACTGCTGGGTGAGAGTCCAAAACGTACAGCGGTGTGGCAGAGGTGTAATAGAGAGAGGGCTGCTGGACGAACACGGTTGTGCTGGGTTGAACCATTATGGTATCATGCACACACCCTCCTGATGTCACACTACTGGTCTGATGAGTCTGAATGCTTGTAGAGGAGTGCTCTTTCTTTAGGAGCTCTTTGACGCCGACCATCTCGTGTATATTAGTCTCTTTTTGAGATCCGGATTGATTGGGTTTGGTGGTCACAGTGATTTGTGTGCTGGTTTCAGTCTTGATTGAAGATCCACTGCAGATCTCAGCCAGCGTCTTGAACTGCAGACCAAGATCATTGAGGAAAGATAGATCCTCGTCTTCTTCGTGAAACAGATTACAAATATCCTCGAACGATTCTGCGTGAGAATCATGACCCTCGTAATCAAAGGTCTTCAGATGGTCAACTGTCTCCTGCTTGGTGGCAACGTGATCTGACTTCTGTAAAGACAGATACATGATATGTTCATGCATGTGACTTTTTTCAAACCAAGCCATTGGATACCAAAATTTAAGGACATTACCATTAAGGATTTTGATTTTTTTTTAATTCCATTGGACGAAAAGCATCTAATGGAGGTGAGGGCGACAGATCTGGTGTGCCACAAGGAAGTGTCTCGGTCCACTTCTAACAGATTTTTTTATTAATAGGAATTGCTTCATTTTTTCGCTGAGAAAACCTAAACTGCAATGCAATTTCTATTAAAACCGATGCATTGGAATATAAAATAATTTCAGGAGTTTGGTTCCAAAACGCGATAAACGCCTTTAGAAAAAAGACCAGTTAGTGCCAAATCTGAAGTGCATTTTTTTCACATTTGAAAAGCCCATGTTTCATTATTCAAACAACACAAAACTAGCTGTGCAGTGCAGACCTGTTTTTTCCAAACCACGATAAAAGGCAGTCAAGTTTTTGCACAAAATGCCATACATCTACTAAACCAAGCATGGCACAAAGAAGATGAGGTAAAAAGCAGCTGGAAAAATGCTAGCTGTCTTCTGCAGCAAAGGTTTTGAATCGTTTGAAATCATTCCAAAGTCCCAAGTCAATGCAAGGCATGTCCAAGTTAAGTCAAAAGCAGCTAAATGTT